TTCCATAGGTATTAGAAGGTTAAGTGGTCGTCGAATCTTTCTTTTTGTGGCCGTTATGAGTTCGGCTTCCCTAATACTTCCATCGTTACCTGAATGCAATTTCGTGATTCGTGCCATTCTCCAGCTGTTCCTTGGAAGTACCGGGTCGCTTAGTAATACGACGTCGCCTACTGTTGGAATTATTTGTCCGCTTCTTTTGTTTATTGGCGACCTTTTGTGTTTTTCTCTGAGACTTGCTAGGTACTGCTCGCGCCAGATTGTCCAGAAACGTTCTGTTGATTTGCAGGAAGAATGAAGTGCTTCTAATACTTTTTGACGGGTCTGAAGTTCTCGAATCTCTTCTGGAGTGTGATAGTCAGGATCCTTCGATAAGTCGGGTTTCAAAGCGTCATGTGGTAATGTGATATTCAAGTCTCTTTGTAGAAAGTCGATTGGTCGGACACATGCTAATTCTTCCTGTGATGCCCCCATGTAGGTAAGTGGCCTTGTGTTCAAACTGGCTTCAATTTCGGTTAGCGATGTGCGAAGATGTTCCATTGATCTTTGATTTGTGCCTCGTAGAGCTTTATACAGCGCGTGCTTGATTGATTTTATAAGTCTTTCATAAAATCCTCCTTGCCACGGAGCATAGGGTGTTATGTAGTTCCACTGTATTTCTTTATCTGAGACTTCTTTCAAGACATCTTCGTGAATGCGATGTTCGTCGGATAAAATTTTTGCGGTGAGTAAAAAGGTCGGAGCATTGTCACACGTAATGGTATCGGGTACTCCTCTTCGTGCGACGAAACGTCGGAGCGCATTTATAAAATCCTCTGTACCCATACTTTGGACAAGTTCGAGATGAATGAGTCGAGTGACTGTACATGTGAAGATGCATCCGGATGGTTTGGCGTTTTCGCTATTTTGCGTTGGTTCTGGCAAGTCGAAAAAGTCCAATCCTATGTGTTGAAATGGTCGACTTTTCCATACCCGTCTTCGGGGTAAGTCACCGGAGTTTGGATAGGGGTATGGGAGTCCGTTGAAACGTCGACATTGGACACATCTTAGAACTAGTTTCCGCACTTGTTGTCTCAGCTTAGGTATCCAGTACTGTGATCGTACTGTAGCCATAGTATGTTCAACCCCTTGGTGGTATCGTCCATGTGCCTCTTTGATTATAAGTTGGGCTAAAAATGTGTTTGGTACAAGGATGATAGGATATTTTCCTTCTTCTGTCAGGTCTGAATTTCCTAGGCGTCCTCTCGATCTCCAAATGAGGTTCTTATCTAAGAATGGACGGAGTGTATTTTCCATGGTCTTTCTATAGGTTTTTCCAAAGTGTATGGTTTGATGATTACGGATGAGAGCCCGGCGAGCTGCTTGTATTGTCTCTCCGCCCAGTTGGGTCAATATTTCTGGAATGACTTTTAATTCCGGTATATTATGGAGGACTGTTTTCAAGCGGGGGAAAGGTAATACCCGCAGTAGTCTTTTTATGAAAATGAGTACTATAGCTATAACTCGTTTTGCGGCCCTTATTGAGTTGAAGCGATTTTCGTTTACTAATGGGCCTACTCTTCCCTCTTCAGTTTCTAGCATATTAATTGTCAGTGCCTCCTCGGAAGTTTGTACCATAGAACTTGTATCTAGAATAGGGCCCTCGGTAAAATCGAGCGTAAAGGTGTACAATGGGCATTGCCACCTTTCCTTTGGACTGGTCAAAAATTTTGGTCCTTTCCACCAAATATGATTGGCGAGCTGTTCCTTAGTTAGTCCCCTTGTTCCCGCATCCGCAGGATTTTCCATACTTGCGATATATCTGAATTCGACGGATACTTCGTGCTCTTTCAAGAATTCAATAATTTTACGGATCTCTTTGAGCCTATTTTCCACTAGTTTCCCTACTTGGGTCCTTGTCCCATCCAATTTGAGCCAATTTAATACTATTTGTGAGTCAGAAAATAAGCATACGTATGTTGTTCGTCCTGGTCCGCACTTTTTGATTGCCTGAAAAATGGACCGTGCAAGTCTAGCCCCTAGAGTGAGCGCATTCATTTCTAATTTTGGCATGGTAATTTTCGAGTGTATGGAGGGGAGCTTACATTTCGCCATTGCCAGGGTGGAACCAGTACGGTTAAAGATGTATGCACAACAGGAGATGGCTATGTCGCTGGCGTCTACAAATACCGCTAAGTCGTTCTTAGTACCATCAATTAAAAACTTTCTTTGGAAAGAGTATTGGAATCCGTCGGTTCTTTCTGCGATAAGCTTCCATTCTTGTATTATTTCTGATGGTAATTCGGCGTCCCACTCATATTTACGCCTCCAAAGGTTTTGTTGGAAGTGCTTTGCAGGGGTGAGTAACGGCACCAACCATCCAAAGGGATCATATATTGAAGCGATTCTTCGGGCTACCAATCTTTTTGTCAGAACTTCACTAGTAGGTAAAGTACACTTGATGTTAAGAGTGTCTGTTTCTGCATTCCACAATATCCCTAGGACTTTCTGTATCGTACTTTTGGCGCAGGCCTCCTGTGGAAGTTGTTTTCTCAGAGACGAGTCATTTGACAGGAACTCCCTGAGGTTCATTCCCATTTCTGCAAAAATCTGACGTGATTCGAGTGCTTTTTCATGCACTTCCTTTTCGGAGTTTCCTGCCAAAATCAAGTTGTCTACATATAGATTTTCCCGGATTTCTTCCGCTATTTCCTCGTTTTCTACTGAAAAACGTAGATGGTAGTGTATAGTTCCTGCGAGGAGAAAAGGTGAGACATTGAGTCCAAACGCTACGCGAGTAAAGCGATATGTGACAAGGTTGTCTTCGTCCACTGGTTTGTTTGTGTCACGTACCCAAAAGAATCTAGTAGCGTCTCTATCCAGTTCATTCAAACGNGAACTCCCTGAGGTTCATTAACATTTCTGCAAAAATCTGACGTGATTCGAGTGCTTTTTCATGCACTTCCTTTTCGGAGTTTCCTGCCAAAATCAAGTTGTCTACATATAGATTTTCCCGGATTTCTTCCGCTATTTCCTCGTTTTCTACTGAAAAACGTAGATGGTAGTGTATAGTTCCTGCGAGGAGAAAAGGTGAGACATTGAGTCCAAACGTTACGCGAGTAAAGCGGTATGTGACAAGGTTGTCTTCGTCCACTGGTTTGTTTGTGTCACGTACCCAAAAGAATCTAGTAGCGTCTCTATCCAGTTCATTCAAACGAACCTGAAGGAACGCTTTTTCCACGTCGGATGTGACTACATATTGAGGTACGCGGAAGCGTAATAGTACTTCATACAATTCTGGTAGTATGAGTGGACCTTGGTGTAGAACATCATTGAGTGAGGGACAGTTCGAAAAATGAGCTGAAGCATCGAAGACTATGCGTAACTTGGTTGTTTCTTTGTGGGGAGTTATCACTGGCTGATGTGGAATGTAATGGAGTACCTTTCCTTCTTGCTGAAAGTTGTTGGGAATCTCCTCGATGATTCCGATTTCCTTCTGCGTAGTGATGGTATTCTCATATTCTTTTAACGTATCGGGGCGCAATCTTAGCATTGTTAGCACGCTTTCCAGGCGCTTTAGCGCTATAGCTTTATTAGATGGTAAGGAGGGATGGTCTTCTTTGTACGGAAAGCGCACATAATACCCATCTTTTCGTCTTTCTATCGTTCTGTTGAAAAATTGTAGAACTTTTTCATTTATTGCTTTCTTTTCGGCGTCCTTTGTGCCTGTAAATTCACAAATTCCAGACGAATCCATAGTCCAATACTTGTCCCAGCGTTGTAAGTCTTCGTCGAAATTCGTGAAGCTGTTGACTTTTATCATGGCTTCTGTATCTGCATGCATGTCTTTTTCTATCTGCTCTTCTGATCGAGTCTGCCTTCCCGTGAGCAAGTACCCTAATCTCGAAGGAATGAGTCTGAGCCCAGATGGGAGGGTGAGTTGTGGACAGGTTGAATCTAGGAAGTTCCACAACTGATCACATCCTAAAAGGATTTGTGGTGATACCTGGTCGTCCTGTGTAGCCTTCGAAAGTTGAATTGCGTGATGTTTGATGAATGCTTGGTCTGCCTCCGTGAGATGAACTGCTTTCCCCATACCTGTTAAAACAGGTGTTGTGTAAAGTTGCACTGGATATTTGTGTCCATCAAAGTCCCAAATGTCTAATGCTGTGACATTACATATCGTGACCTTTGGTTCCTCTATACCAAAAATCTGCATTCGCAGCTTTCTAGAGTCCGAGTACTTGAGGCCAATTCGTTTGGCCAAAGCTTCACTAATGAATGAACGATCCGCCCCCGTATCAAAAAGTATTTCTACTTTATCCCATTCTTGAGTCTTGCAGTTCCAAATCTTGGCGCACCCCGTTAGTAGTAGTACACAACTTTCCATATTGTTTGTCTTATCTGTGTTTTGGAGTACAGTTGTTTCTTGTTCGGCGGTGCTCGTTATTGTTTGTGCCCTTTCCTGATTAAGTAACTGATCAGATTGTAAGGGATTCGCGTGAGTACTTATCGTTTTTCCCTCTTTAGTTTTAATATATCGAGTCTTCGACTCTTGTCTTCCCTGAGTCACACCGAGTCTTTTTTCCGGTGTCCATTGTTTAGGATTAATATCCTTCTTCATTGCCAATTGTGGACAGAGGGTATGGTGATGACGAGTCCCTTTACAATTTCTACATCCTTGGCTCTTGCACTGTGTTGCGAAATGTCCTGATTTCCCACAATTCAGGCATAGCTTGCGTTCTTGCATTGCTGTGCGACGTTCTGAGATCGTGGGATACTGGGAGCATGATAAGGATTTATGTTGCATCGAGGAGCAAAACATGCATTGTTGATTCTTCGAGTTTAATCCGAAAGTATGTTTCGGAATAAGTTTTGCGTGGGTGGTGTTTTTTGATTTTACCATGTCATTTATCCGTTCTTCTTTTGAAATGTGTTGGTCAAGGTCTTTCAACAGGTCTTGCATTTTCCAATTCGATTCGTTGGTTTCTTGGGAGAGTCTTAAATCAAGAATTCGGCGTTGTGTGGAGGTGTTGAATTTAGCCAATACTTTCTTTGTTAGATAGGAGCCATCCAAGTTGACATTTTCCTGCTCTAATTGTGCCACTATGGGAACAATGAACTCGAGCAAACGACGTTGCGCTTGCGTCGTGAAGTCCTCAGCTTTTGCCGCTTCTAGGCGTGCCTGTAGTCGATCAATTAGTTTAGAATTGTCCCCGTATTTTTTTCCGTAGTGATTCCACTGCTAAGTCGTAATTGTCCTCCGTCACTGAGTATCGTTTTACGAGTTCACGAGCTTCCCCGCTTAGAGCATTTAGTAGGTAATTGAATTTTTGTAGCTTAGTCAAGGGTTGGTCGTGCACATTGGCGCAGAAAAGAGTCCAAAAATTTTTGTACTCCCATACCTTACCCGAGAATGTAGGAATTGGGATGGCTGGTAGTTTGGGTCTCGCCACTTGTAGGGTCCCCTGAAATGTAGCCTGGTCATTTCCCATAAAAAGAGTTTGATCGCGAGCCGTACGTACGTGAGCATCCATTTGAATTGCAACCCTGTTTGCGCGATCAAGGAGGGACTGTGCCGAATCGATATATTCCTGTAATTGTTTCTCATGTTCCTCATTGAGACTCTCGCCCAATGAGTCAGCCGTAGCCGCAAATGTGGACAAAGAATTCAAGACCAACTCCGAAGCGCTTTGAAGTTCGAAAATCGCTGCTTGTGTATTGCCTAGGTCTCTTCTCTCGTGTAAATCAGACCACTCCCTTGTTACCGTTGCCTCAGCACTATCCAATACGCGTCTCAAATTATTACTGTAACGAGTTAACAGTCCCTTCTGCGTTTTCAAAGTTATAGGACCGGACATGGCAAATTAATAATCCAATATTTTAGTATTCTTTGAGTAACAGTAGTAAAAAGTGAAAAAGGAGACAAAGTCTGAATCCAAAGTGTCGCTTTCTTGAGTTACGATCCAAGTATCGCGACCAG